TACTGCAGGTCTACGAGCTGTTGTGAGTCCGCGTCTTGGTGGTCTGCAAGGCGTCTTCCTTCCGGAAGCAAAGCAAAGTCCAAACTGAGTTACAGTCAGTTTGCGCGGCCCCTCACACAGAAGTTCACCGAAGTGAGGCTAGCCGTACGTAACCACACTTAACTGGACTACTACTACACCACTGCCCGGTCAAAGTGGCCAAACCAGCAATCAATGTGGTTCCGATGTTTCAATATCTTCGAACGTCGAAGTACAACTGGAATCAATTTCTTTCAAAGTGGTTTAATCTGCCATCAATGTGGCCAACCTGTACATTAGAATTCGATCAAAACTTGTAATGACAAAGGTTTTACTCTTGGCGTGCGCGCCAAATTCATAGGGCAATCAAGAGATATCAACAGAAGTCTAGAAAACTCGTGTCTTGGCTGCGTTTCATGACCGTAAAGATTGGAAAGCAGCGGCCTCTCACAATGCAATATTCTTGACGACACCTCGACGTGTGATTCACAACACCTCGACTCAGCTGGGGTGGAGTGCCGCGTCGCTGACCAAGATGACACCAGAAAGCGCCTCACGTCGTTGCATTGTCTTGTATCCGTCCACCCAGCTAGTCGACTGGAGAACATTCAAAATGGAGAGTAACCTTTGTCAATACATGCTTCGATCGAATTCAAATTTACAGGTTGGCCACATTGATGTCAGATTAAACCACTTTGATGAAATAGATTCCAGATGCACTTCGACATTCGAAGAAATTAAAACGTCGGAACCACATTGATTGCTGGTTTGGCCACTTTGAACGGGCAGTGGTGTAGTAGCCCCTACTACTACTAGAAAAACATGGCTAAGCCAATCACGCATCTCTAAACCAACGCTTTTCACCCAATCAGCGATCATGGGCATTTGCGTAGGAGTCAATATTTCAACTGTTTTCCAGGCCAAATGTGAGTTTTGCCTAGGGGAAAAAAATACCACTGGAATTTACAGTCCGCGACACCTTCGAGAGCACCAGCTCCGGCTTCCACAAATGATAATTACTTTGTGGAGGACTGAATGTAGCGAATAAATTGGAAAAACTTTAGACAACAAATACCTCAAACAAATTACTTTATGCAAGGAATAAAACATAGCAGGCTAAAACTGGTG